CCAGATCTGAGTTCGGGGTTGCGTGGACGGGACATTGAAGGGCGCGGCCGCTTACCTGCAGGGACGGTCAGAGCAGCTGTCAAGGCCACGCGCCTCCCCGTCCCCACCCTGCTTGTGGACGCTCTTATTAGCAGGTGGGATTTTATCGTGTGTGATTATGAGTGTCATGTCATTTTTAAGTGCTTGCGTCGGTTTTGGCTCCCTGCCATTGAGCGGGTATGTTATAAGCGCATAGAAGTGAGGATTTATTAGCTCTATGTTTATCTATACCAATATCTCTCGGTGTTTAAATATGCAGTGTATATGTCACGATGATTGGTTTCCCCCTGTAGTGTGACGGAGCATGACGGTCAGATCGATTATGACAGACTGTGTCATGAACTGGATTACCGTCAGCGACCTCACATCCACGACAACCTCCCGTGCCAGGTGAGTTCCCGATGTATGAACACTTTAAACATAATTCAAGCATTTTAATCGAATGTTTAATCGAGTTCGAAGTAGACCATAAAGTGCTCAATACAAGAATAGAAACAGATCCATAATTATGATAGCTATAATATCAGCTGCAAGGTGTAACAACTACAGCAAAGCAGTGACCTTAAGGGTAATAAGGGCAACGGTGATTATAATGGTAACGCTACCACTAATATTAATAATTACACTGATGATTAGAAAACTCGTGCAAGCTCACACGGTACCTAATAATCCCATGTAATACCCAACCCTCAAATACTGACCCTTATTCCTTCCGAAGCTGGACGAATCCTCCCTGGAAGTCGGGCTGCGGCGCCTCTCGGACGACACGGATTACGTCAACCTCGTCGCGGACCTAGAAGGCAGCGCCAACACCCACCACTTCGCCGGGTCAGGGCTTGTGTAGAAGGAGAGGCTCGCAGCGTGGGCTGGATAGAGAGGTTTTGTTGTTAGTGTGTATCATAAACACGCACGCACACACATATGAACACACACACGCACGTGTGTGTGTTCATATGTGTGTGCGTGCGTGTTTACGTGTTTATTTGTTTGTCTGTGTTTGTATGTGTGTCTGTGTGTGTATTTCTGAACTGCCTTATTCGCTTGTTGTAGGTCACAGTATTGAAAAGTAGGATTGTTAATTTTGAAATGGTGGTGGTTATTATATCGCCATAAAGTAGTTATGTTATGTTCATAGTCGTTGAAAAATGTTTACACTGTTGGTATTTGCAGATTAGGTAAAGCTGAATTTAGATTGTATCAAACGCTTCCTTCACCTCCAATATATTTTATATTGTGTCAGTGTGTATTTTTATTTTTATTTTGCCAATATAAACGAAAGAATATAGCACCGACTACAGACACTTAGCAGACTCATAATGATTTCTAATATCTCATGGAAATGAATGCTATTTACTTCATTGTAAGTTTACACTGGAATGTATTTATCTCCTGTCTAATGTATTGTGGCTACATCTGTGGTGATTCCGTGGGTTCAAACTACAACTTGGTGAAATAGATTAGTCTACATATGTTCATTATGTCTCCTCGGAAATCTTACTGTTTCTGACATGGAAGTTGTAAGGATATAACGAGGAATTAACATTGTTCTTTTCTATGCTTAATTATATTACCTGGTGTCCTGTTATATCCTCAGGTTATGTGCTTTGGCTGTGTATTGTTGAGTAACTTCGTCTTTTCCATTGTGATATTCTTTGAGTTGTAATGATTGTTGAATATATTGTCTCTACATCATTCTCGTAACTGTTATATAAAATGATATTAATAGCAATAAGGATAATAATGGTGGTTAGGTAAGGATACTACTACGACTTCTTTTTCTCCTTTTTTTCTTCTCAGTTTTCTCCTACTTCTTTTTTCTTCTACTTCTTCTTTTTCTTCATCTTCCTCGTCTTCTTCTTATTATTATTCTTTTCTTCTTTTATCTTCTACCACTACTCCTACTACTACTTCTCCTTCTTGTTCGTCTTGTCCTTCTGTTTCTATTTCTACTTCTACGGCTACTTTTTGTTAGTATTTTTGTTCTTTTACTTCTGCTGTTATTAATACTACTCTTGATAATAACATTAAGTATATTGATGAAAACTTTAATAATATGATAATATTGATCGTGGTAATAATGATAACAATTAAAGCAATGATAACACTAATGATAACTTGGTAATGAAGATACTACTACCATAGCTGCCACTACTGCTGTTACTGTTACTATTGCTTGTGATAATAATGATATCACTGGTAATAAAGATGATAATGTTCCTGTAACATATATAATGAAATAAATCTAATAGGAAGAGAAATATATGTTATGTAACAGTATACCTCAAACTAAATCATCGTTTTTGTTAAAAAATATAGATAGATAGAGATTGAAAGAGATTGAAAGATAGATAGATAGGGAAAAAGACAGCGAAATATATTTATATATATACACATATGTATATCTATATATGTATGTACATACACACACACACACACACACACACACACACACACACACACA